GAGGTTGAAGTCTCCCAAATCTCTCCAACCTACGCTGCTCATCCTCTGGCATGACAGGAACTACATAGTCTTGAGTAGCTGCGACCGGCTGGGCTAGATATGCCCCCGACGTCTGAAGCCCCTACACGACCTGCTCAGGCGTGCGGGCGGCGGGAGTCTGACTGCCTCTCCCGGCCTGTGAAGTAGCTGCGGCTGTAGTGGCTGAAACCGCCTTAGCTAGGCTAGTGCAAACTGATAATATCTGAGCCAAAGCCTCCTGAAGACCCGGAATCACAATAGGCACAGCTGGTGCCTGAGCTGGTGCTGCTGGAGGGTCCACAGCTGGAACCTGGTCCTGAACTGGGGCAGTTGGTGGATAAACAGGTGCTGCCCTCACTGCTCTGCCTTTGCCATGACCACGACCACGTCCACGGCCTCTGGTGGCCTCAGCTGGTGGCACTGGTCACCTCGTCCGGTAGCTCGTGTCCTCACCATCTGTGAGAGAATAGAATAACAGAAGTTTAGCACTGGACCAACAAGTTCGCACGATAAGAATTTCAAGAATATGAAGTTTTTCCTAAAGGTTCTGCAGCCTTTCGAGGATAAATACAGACGTCTCTGTACCGATCCGCGAGACTCTACTAAACCCGCTCATGACTCGCGAGACCTAAGTTAGGCTCCGATACCAACCTGTCACGACCCTAACCCCGAACCCGATCGTGATGGCGCCTCTCGTGAAGACAAGGCCAGCCAATAAACAATTACTCAGTTTTAAACAGTTAAATAGCATAATAAAGGTCTAAGCATAATTAAATAACGCGAAATAGCGGAAAAAACAGCCCGACACAGCCAAACCGGGGTGTCACAAGTTATGAGCAACTACGAGTCCTGATACAAGTCTACTAAGCACAGTATCTGATACAACTGTTTGAAGAAACAAAGAAAATAATAAGATACGGGAGGCACGGGGGTTGCGGATGCCGACAGCTACCTCGTAGTCTCTGAAATACCGCCTGGACTGGAGGAATCAACACTCCGGAGCGGAACCAACAACGCCTGAATCTGCACACACGGTGCAAAGAGTAATGTGAGTACTCCAACCCAGTGAGTAATAAATATAAATAATGACTGAAGATAAGAAATCACATAAAGCACAAGGTATTCTATAATGAAGCAGTAAAACATCATTTGAAAACAGTAAATCAGTAAAAACCTAGTAAAAACTCCTTTCAACAGGTAAATCAGGTAAATAATGTGAAGTAATGGACAGAAGTTCGCCCCTCGGGCTCAGTATCCACAAATCCTCCCCTCGGGCCATATCTCAGTACAGTGCCAGCCCCTCGGGCTCAATCTCATATCACAAATGGGTACCCGCGCTCACTGGGGGTGTGCAGACTCCTGGAGGGGCCCCTTACGGCCCAAGCGCAATCACAAGCCATCTCGTGGTGTCAATCTAGGCCCTCGGCCTCATATCAATCAAGTCAACTCATGGCATATATGTAACTCAGGCCCTCGGCCTCAAATTAGTATCAGTATTCCTCACAATATAGGCCTTCGGCCTTACTCAGTCCGAAAAATCATCACAAGCCCCTCGGGCAATAGTAAAACAGTGGTTTCAGCCCAAACATCATTTAAAAATATCATTTAAGTCTTAAAAACTGGGAAAGTATGGCTGAATAGTAAAACAGTAAAAATTATCAGGACTGAGTTCAAGTAATAAGTCAAAACAGTGAGGTAATAGTAATAAAAATCCCCGAAGGGTTCAAATAGTTGGCACGAAGCCCAAATATAGCATTCAGCCCAAGTCATGATGATAGCAAATAAGTCTCAGTCAAATACGCGGTAAAATCATCAATCGGGACGGACCAAGTCACAATTCCCAATAGTAAATGACCCCACGCTCGTCGTTAAGCGCGTGTCTCACCTCAATTAGCACTACGATGTGCAAATCCGGGGTTTCAAACCCTCAGAGCATCATTTACAATCATTACTCACCTCGAACCGGCTAAATCTCTAGCTCGCGACGCCTTTGCTCCTCGAATCGGCCTCCACGTGCGTCGGATCTATCCAAAATCAGAACGAACACGTCACAATATGCTAAGGGAACAAAGCCCAAGCAAAAACAATCGAAAAATACCAAAAATCCCGAAATTAGCAAAACCCGAGCCCCGGGCCCACTTCTCGAAACTCAGAAATTTTTACAACAACGGGTTCCTTATCTCTCCACGAGTTCATACATACTAAAAGTTCTCCAATCCGACCCCAATTGGTCCTCCAAATCCCCAAATCAAAATCCCAAAATTCCAAGCCCTAGTTCTTCCATTTTTAGCTTAAGTTCCATGATTTTCTAGGTAGATTTCACAATAGAAACGAGTTTTAAGTTCAAAAAACTTACCTCCAATCGGTTCCCTTTGAATCCCTCTTTAATCTCCACCAAGAAGCTCTCAAAATGATCAACAATGGGTGAAAATAGACCCAAAATCGCTGATGAAATGACTTAAAACATTCTGTCCAGTTCTGCCTTTCCTTCATCGCGATCGCAGCACTAGCCTCGCGATCGCGAAGCACAAATTTTTAATTCCCAAAAATAACACTACGCGAATGCGACATGGACCCCGCGAACGCGATGCTTTCGCCTCTCACACTTATGCGAACGCGAACTCTCTAATGCGAACGCGAAGAACAATTCCTCTTGGACCCTTCTGACCCTATTCCTTATACGCGATCGCGGACAACTTCACGCGAACGCGAAGCACAGGATCCCAGCCTTACGCGAAGGCTTAAATCTGGCCTTCCTCAATTCCTTCTACGCGATCGCGATACACCTCACGCGATTGCGAAGGGTTAATTTTCTGCAACAGCTGATCCCAAAATCTGCAATTTTTCCAACTTAGAAATGGTCCGATTGACCACCCGAAACTCACCCGAGGCCCCCGGGACATCAACCAAAAGAACCAACACATCCTAAAACCTTATTCAAACTTGTTTCAATCATCAAAACACCTCAAACAACATCAAACTACTCAAAACACATCGAATTCAAGCCTAAGTTTCTAAAATCTTCCGAAATACGCTTTTGATCAAAAACCCAACCAAATCACATCCGAATGACCTGAAATTTTGCACACATATCCCAAATGACACAATGAAGCTACTGCAACTCTCGGAATTCCATTCCGACCCCCGGATCAAAATCTCACCTACCAAGCGGAAATCGCCAAAATATCAACTTCGCCAATTCTAGCCTAATTCTACCCCGAACCTCCAAAACCCATTTCGATCACACTCTTAAGTCATAAATAACCTCCCGAAGCTAACCGAACCATCGGAACTCACATCCGAGCCCTCTAACACATAAGTCAACATCCGGTTGACTTTTCCAACTTAAACCTTCTTAAAAGAGACTAAGTCTCTCAAACTTCACCAAACTCCTTCCGGACTCAATCCGACCAACCCGATACCACAAAACACAGATAACTAAGCATAAAGAAGCAGAAATGGGGAAAACAGAGCGGTAACTCATGAGACGACTGGCCGGGTCGTCACAGTTAATAATCTGGAAAGTATGTCAACAAACCAATTATCATAAGTTAAACCATTCTCATAATCAATTTTTTTTTATAGCTGACGTTAACACGAAATGAAAATGGTTTTTCATTAAATTGTTTAGTGACTTTTATAACAGAAGTTATAAGTTGAATGATTAGTTAAGAAGAAAGTGACTATGAGCCGTTTGGCTTAGCTGATTTAGAGTAGCTGATAAGTATTAGGTGCTGAAAAGCACTTTTAAGTGCTGAAGCTGATTTAAAAAATAAGCAGTTACGTGTTTGGATAAAAGTGCTGAAATTAATAATAAGCAGCTGAAGAACTGGGTGTACGAAGAGTTTTGTTTTAAAAAGAAGTATTTCAGGGATAGAATAGTAAATATTTTGGTCAAACTTAAAGTGCTTATAAGCTGAAATTTGATAAGCTGGGGGAGACCAACTTATGACTTTTGGCTTATTTTTGGCTTATAAGCACTTTTAATTTTACCAAACGCGTAGATAAGCCAAAAAATGCTTATAAGCCAGTTTGACCAGCTTATAAGCTTAGCCAAACACCCTCTATATCAATTCATAATCTTGGAGGAAGTTTATTTTTATGACTTATAGTATAGTAAAGACTAATAATTTATCTTTGGTGTTACTAACCAAAAGAAAAAATTCTCACTCAATATTGTTAAATTGCATACTAACCAATATTGTTCAAATATGATCATTTATCTTTTTAAAAGTGAAAACATGTCAATTGACAAACTCACATTGCAAACTACTATTTCTTTTAATATAAGTAAATATAAATAAAGATTTTTATTAAATAAAAAAGATTAGTTAAAAGGATCTAGGTAAGAGCACTAGCACTACCCTTGCAAAATCAAACAAGTTATAAGGTAGTTTACGTTTTACCATAAAAAATATGGTGAGATGAGTGACTTCATTTCCTTTACCAGAAATTGAGGTTTAAGCCCTAAGAATAAAAAGTTTTCAGCTAAAGAGTATTTTTCTTTAAAATGAATTTATGCGACGCGAATTTAGAGGGCGTTTGGACATAAAAATCGTAAAATTTCGAAAAAAAGTGAAATTATTTTTTCAAGTGAAAGTGGTATTTGAAAATTAGAATTGTGTTTGGACATGAATATAATTTTGGGTTGTTTTTGAATTTTTGTGAGTGATCTATGTGAAAATTTCGAAAAATAACTTATTGGAGTTTTTAAAATTTTTGAAAAATTTCAAAATTCATCTTGAAGTGAAAATTGAAATTTTTATGGCCAAATACTGAGTTCGAAAAAAAGTAAAAAATTCTCGAGAAAAAGTGAAAAAAATTTCATGGCCAAACGGGCTCTTAAATTATTTAGGTTAATGAATTCCGAATAACCATATACGGGAAATAAAAGGTAAAGGCTCATTAAAAAAAGAGAAAAATAATAATTTCCTGCCCAAAAAGTCTCTATATATTAGTCAATACTAATAAAAATCAGAAAAAAGAAAAAGAATCAGGCGAGTACATTTCGGATCCCAAAACTTACTCTCAATCGCGCTCTCTTATCTTTCGATCTCTTCGCTAAAATTTTCAATTTCCAAACCCTAATTTTCCCCCAGATTTCCCCCTCTTATCTTTATTTACCCAATAGATCCTTCAACTTTTCCTAATTTTCCCTTTTTTTTCTCTTTCATTATTTCCAAAAAACCCTAGATCCGTACGACATTCGATTTCCCTGAAATTGGGAATTTTGGTTCTCAATCGGTCTAGGTTTTCTAATTTTTTCACTCTGCAAATCAATTTCTCTTTTCGGAAACCCTAGCTCCCAATTTGTATGTATGACTTCAGATGCTAAAGGTTTGAATTTTAGAGAGAGGCTTCGTTGGGGCGACGGTACCAAAGTTTATACCCGAAAAAAGCATAGGATCCAGAAGAAGGATAGCAGTAACAACGACGTTTCTCCGGCGACCGCCGCCGCCGCCGTAGAAGAAGCCGTAGACGTAGCCGTATTGGACACCAATGTATGCGATGAAAAGAGCAAGCTTTACGAAAATAATAATGTTTCGCAGCCAATTTCACAAACCCTAGAGGCAGATGGGCACGGTAGCTGTGGAGGAGCGGCGGTTTCAGATGGAGGAGACGGTGGCGCTACGATGGAGGGTAACCGGGAGGTAGCCCCGGAAGGCAGTTGTGGTGGTCTGCCTAATCATGAAGAAGGATCACAACCTAGGGAGGATCTTGAGGTGGCTAATAGGTTGGTTAAACCGGTAATTTCTAGACTTGAAGATAGGGTTAGGATTAGTTTAACTGGGGCAAGGTCGGGAATTGAGATTAGAGATCTTAGAAGGACGCTAGAGAGGGAGCTCGATCATGTTAGGAGTTTTGCGAAGAAACTTGAAGCTAAGGAGTTTCAGCTGACTTCGCGTAACATTGGTAACAATGGTAGTGTTGTTGCTGTTCCTGGTGATGCCGTTGTCTCCCATAGTTATCCACAATATATGGGTAGTGACAATTTGCTCAACAGTAGGTCTTTAGTGCGAGTGCATTCAGAGGTAGGTTCAGTGGGGCATATCCAACCAAGACCATTCCGTCCACCTCGTCTTGCAGTTGTTGTAAACAACCACGCGGTTGGTGAATTTGTGGAGAAGGAGAAGAGGACCCCGAAGGCTAATCCGTATTACAAGAATTCCGAGTTCCTTCTCGGAAAGGACAGACTACCTTCCGAAAGCAGTAAAAAATTGAAAACCAACGGGAGTGGGAGTGTATCAAAGTACGGATTTGCATTTGGGTTTGGAACATTTGATAAGCATAGAAAACAACTGTTTCGAAGTTGTAGTGACCTGCTTCAGAGGTTAATGAAACATAAGCATGGTTGGGTGTTCAATGAGCCGGTAAATGTAGAGGCTCTTGGGCTCCATGATTATCATGATATAATTAAGCATCCTATGGATTTGGGCACTATTAAGAATAGGCTATCCCAGAATTGGTACAAGTCTCCGAAGGAATTCGCAGAGGATATAAGACTTGTCTTTAGCAATGCCATGACTTATAACCCTAAAGGGCAGGATGTTCATGTAATGGCCGAACAGTTGTCACAGATTTTTGAAGAGAGGTGGGCTGCTATAGAGGCCAAGTATAATCCAGGGTGGAGGTATCAAATGTATCATGATGCAGGCTTGCCCACTCCCACTTCAAGGAGGGCCCATCTTCCTCATCCTTTTGTCCATGAACCTGTGCCTTATCATACACTTACACATTCTCCTCGAGCAAGGACTTTAGAAAGGTCTGAGTCAATTACTGGGGCAGCTGATGCGAATAAGAAGCCCTTCATTTTCTCTCATGTTGGTAGGACACCAGTTCCCAAGAAACCTAAAGCAAAGGATCCCAATAAGAGGGACATGACGTATGAAGAAAAGCAGAAACTTAGTAAAAATCTTGAGAATTTACCTTCAGAAAAGCTTGATGCAATTGTTCAGATCATTAAGAAGAGGAGCACAGCACTTAATCAGAATAACGATGAGATTGAAGTAGACATAGACAGTGTTGATGCAGAAACTCTATGGGAGCTGGATAGGTTTGTGACAAATTACAAAAAGAGTCTGAGCAAGAATAAGAGGAAAGCTGAACTTGCCCTTCAATCCAGAGCAAGAGCTGCTCAAAGTGCTCCTGCTGCAGTGAGTTTTGAGTCACATATATCTCTCTCTTCTTGTCTCTCTGTCTGCTTTAAATACATGGTTATCTAGTGTGAATTAGGAATTCTTAGTTTGTCACATTTTTTGTTGTAGAGTTCCGGCCCAATGGTTGCTGATGCACTAAAAGAAAGCAGACCTGGTAAGTTATTTTCTATGAGAATTATTGTTTGAGATTGACATTACATGGAAAATATATATCATACCTCTCGTCTCTTTCCTCTTGTCTCTTTCCTTATGAGTAGGTGAAATGCATACTAGTGCTCCTTCTACCAATGCAGAAGGTGGGAGACCAGTGGATAATGCAAGCAGTTCCAGCAGCTCAAGCAGTTCTAGCAGTGATTCAGGATCATCCTCCAGTGGTAATAACTGTTTAGTCAACTGATGAAAAGGAATTATGGTTCACTCTGTTGCAAGTCTCCATCTACGCATGAACCATGATCTTTGATATTTGAAGCATTGATTTTGCAGCCAGTATGAAGCCTGTTTGTAATTTCATTTGTCTATGTTTGCAGATTCTGATAGCGATAGTTCATCTACGTGTGGATCGGATGCAGGGCATTGACTTAGGATGTGAAGGGATGTTGGAAGTAAGTAAAGACATTATCTAATACATTTGATTTTTTTCTTTTGGGTGACAATTATCTTTTCCCTGCGAACTTGCACCTTTCTTAATGTTTGGTATGAAATATGCTTTCGAGTATGTTCATTGTGTTCTGGGATTGCTCCATTTCTTCCTGTGGTTGAATCTGTGATTTGGCTTGGTCAGGGAGAATGCACACTTAGGCGTTGATATTTTTTACATCTGATTCCAGTTTTTAACTATTTTCAGAAAGATGGTTGAGGATTAAGAAATAGCTGCTAAGGGGTCGTTTGGTTGGAAATAAGTTATCCCATGAGTAATTATCCCGGGATTAGTTATCCCACCCTCCCATAGTAATAAAAAAAATACTACAATGCGGGGATAACTAAATCCTGGGAAGTTATACCATGATTTTATCCCAACCAAACATGGGATAAACTCATCTCAAATTTCATTCCGGAATAAGTTATCCCTTATCCCTCATGCCAAACGAGCCCTAAGTCTCTTACTATTTAATGTTGCTTCATGCATATCATCTGCAAATAACTCTCTTTAGACATGTCAAAAGTTTGTGTTGCAGGAGGAAACAATGTTGAAATGTTTCATCAACATCTTTCCCAGTATAACCTTTAATATTAAATGGATGTGCTGTAGTTGGGTCCACTTTGGATTTTATATCAATGTTCAATATGTTTGTTGTGTTAGTTTGTCATATAAATGGTTTTTTCGATCTAGTGATTTTCTAGAATTTAGAATGGTTTAGGAAGGCATAACCAAAGTTGTGCAGTCAAGTCTATGTAGTTCTTGTCAACGACCATACCATCGCTTGAGAACAGAGGTTGGGATTTACTGCTGTGCGCATATTCTGTGGTATGTCCCCACATGAATATGCAGATGAATGAAGAATATCTTAGAATGTGTAGGCGAAGTATGATGAGCTTCTCCATAATTTGCAGAGCAAATGGAGTAATCTTAACATGTGGAGCATATTCGATATATTCTGATAAAACCGTGTTAGTCTAATAGAAGTGTAGTCACGTTTACAATCTAGACTTAATAGCTATTGTTTTATTTTTTTTTAAAAAGTTGAGGTTTATTAACTGAATACCAAGATGGTACCAGAAAAGAGTACAAAACTGCTGGGAATATCCATGCAGTTAATTACAACATTTTCTAAGTAACTCCATAAAATCCATGTAATGATCAATATTATCTACCAAACTACTATTACACCAAAAGAAATAGATTGTGCAGACACTTATTTTTTATTCTAGAAATATGATCTTTCTGCCCATCAAAGCAAGCTCTATTCCTCTCTAGCCAAATAGTCTAGAATATGCACAGAGGTATGGTTCTCCAAATCTGTTTAAGTGCTTTATGTGTCTTCTGATGCTGCCAACCATTCAAAAGGTTCCTGACATTCTGAGGCATGGTCCAAAAAATCCCACAAGAACTGAAAAAAAGCTCCCAGCACTGTCTAGCATATCTACAATGCAAGAAAAGGTGATTGGTAGTCTCCAGTTCTTCACATAAATAACATCTGCTACACAGAACAAAGCCCCTCTTCTGAAGATTATTTTGAGTAAGGCAAGCTTCCCAAGCTGCAGTCCAACCAAAACATGCAACCTTTACAGGAGCTTTGTTCCTCCAAATCACTTTCCAAGGCCAATTAGGTTCCCAGTGACTTGCATTTTTCTTAACAAATTATAACAGCTTATGACTGAGAACTTTCTGTCATTACTAGCATTCCACAATAATGAATCCTTCTTACTATGATCAATGTGGGTAGAACTCAACTGAGAAAGCATCTGACAGAAATTTTCTATCTCCCAATCATTTACATTCCTTCTGAAATACATCTGCCAACCAGAATTTGAGAAGAAATCAGCCACCACTCCATCCTTATTGTTACAGCAGTTAAATACAACAGGAATTTCTCTCTCAAACATTCCTCACCATTCCATAAGTCACTCCAAAATTTTATCTTTCTTCCCTTCCCCACCTCCAAGCTAGTAAACTGCTTGAACTCCTCCCATAATTTGCAAACCCTTTCCAATTCCCCCTCTAGTATACACGCTACTGAAGGGGGGATTCCATCCTTGACGACTACCATAAATAGATTCAACTATTTTAATCTTCTAAAAGTTGATACTGATCCATTTCTTCATCTGATAACTTCTTTATTTTACTAGACACTTCCTGAGTGTGCTGTGGTTGTGAACTCTGGTATTTTTAATTCTAGTATATAAGAATTGCCGAGGATTTGGACCATTTGCAGAAACGTTTTGGTTATAAGATTTTTAATATCTTTGATATTCAGTTGCTCTCTCCAACACTCCCCCCCCCCCCCCCCCCCTCTTTTCTTTCCCCCTCTTGCATATCATTCAAGGAAGTGTTCTTTTCTAGTTTTGCAGGAGTTCTTCAGGAATGTGTTGGGACAGACATCTTGGTAATCCCTTGTCTGAAGGGTGTTTCTTTGTGCTTCGCCCATGGTTCTTCCAAGAACTTCAAGTTTGAGTCATGAAGTGCTGGTCCTTGATGATACTGGAAAGGCGTAAAGGGATCATTCATTTTTACCATCGTTTAACTTGTATATCTATATCGATACAAGGTGGTTTCTGTGTCGAAACTGAATACTAAATCAGATTGGGTACGGGGATGATGGGAGAAATGCAGCACCTGTACATAGCCAAGATTGCTTGACCAGTTTGAGTGGAAAAAATCTTGTGTTGGGATTTTATTCATTTGATTACACTGCTGCTAGAGCTACTAGGCATGATTGTGTGAGTTCCTGCAACTGCCTGGGTGTACAAAAACATGTGCAGTTAATGGTAGGATAACATGTATTATCGTATTGTATAGTATAAACCTAAGTTGCTCGGACTCAGGTGCAGGTGTCCGATACAGGTGCAAATTTAGATGGTGGAATGGATCCTTCATGATCTAAATTATAAGATTTGGGGTTATGGATTCAGGTACGGATATTGGCAAGGGGATTCGGCTAAAATAATTTAAATATTTAAAAGTAGAGTTACAGAAATGTCTAAATTATGAGACATTATGTGGAAAACTTATAAGGTATTCGAAATATTAAACAAGAGGAGAATCCTAGGAGATAAAAGGAAGAGGACTTCCATATCACTCTAGCTTTCGTATTTTTAAATTTTTTTGTATCTGTCCCGAATTTCTTCGTCGATTTTGGTCAAAGTACCTAAAATTGGTTGACCAGATCAGGTATGGATCCCACACAGTAATACCCACACCTTTGTTATGTTGACACGAGTGCGGCACTGAAAATAAAAAGTCCGAGCAACTTAGGTACAAAACAATAAAGTTAAAATTACTGTAGACTGTACATACGTTGCCAATTTCTGTTTTTCGGCATAATTTGTTAGATAGTTTGTCACGTTTACGTCTTTCAGTAGGTATATCAGGATTGATGAGATTTTATAAGAATCCGGGTGTTATTTTGGTCCCAAAAGTCCAGGGCCCTTGCTTGTTATGCATTAGTAATGTTTTGTTTGGGAAATGATACTGTATAGCTATTTTCAAAATAATAGCTGAAAATATATATATATATATATATATATATATATATATATANTAATATATCTTGTATGTTAGATACAATAATTCTACAAATTTTATACACTTTCGGCTATCGAATGTAAATGGTTTCTGACACGGGCTAAAAGTCATAATACCCCGTTTAATTTTGCATAGACTGGATGGATATTCTTTTTGCCCGATCATTACCCTCTACGCCATTTAGGATTGGCGAAATACATAAACGGCCCATTTAAGTTGTCCTCAACGACCAGACAAACACCTCAACTGAGCCATTTACCATTTAGACACTTCAAATAACTATTAAATGTATCAAGTAAACACCTGAGTGTATCAGACCACATGCGTGACTTACACTTGCTAATGACGTGTCAAATGAACCAATTAAAAAATGGCACGTGTAATTTGAATTAACAAAAAAAAATACATTTAAGAAAAAAATTCTTTTCCTTACTTTTAACCAAACCAGCCCCGCTACCCCCCCCCCTCCACCCACTTCATCTTCTTGCTTTCACCCATCCCTCATCCCCTTATCCCAAATCCACCCTTATCCCAAGTCCAACAAATTAAACATAGTTACTGTAATTGGCTACGCATTGGGATTAGGGGCAATGCTTTAAGCCCAATTTCAAAAATTGAAGAACAGAGGAGTTGAACAATATAGCAGCTTTTTTGGTGTTCCTTAGATTTGCTCAAATATTTCAATCCAATCTCAGTCTTTACTTCACCAAATGAGTCCAAACTTGAAATGAGAACTCTAATTAACCCCGATATCAAACCCCAATGTCCAATTTTTACAAACAACAACAAAATCAGAAGACCCAGTCGTAGTCTTCTTGGAATAGACTTCAAAAATTTTGAACCAAAGCCAATCGAATCAACTCCAATCGACCTAAATTCGTAGATTCCGTTTTACAAAGAAAGTTTCAACAAAGGTTTCTAACACCCAATCAATTTCGGCTGTCAATTTTCAGATCGAAACAACCCATCTTCTTCCACAATATTGGACAATGAAGAACGATGAAATACAGACTCAGATTTCAAGAGTTGTGTTGGGTTCGAAGACTTCTTTCCAAATTTGAAGTCTAGAGTAGTGGCAAGGATTAAATACAGAATTTTAGCACCAGATAATGAAGAACAAAGATGCATAAACAAAGCACTCAAGCAAAATTTTCTAATTTTTTTTGTAATTAAGTAATTTTTTTCTAATTTTCTGATTTGACTAAAGAAGATATGACTTCACGCGCCCAAGACTTTGTTAGCAAACACGCATATGCCACATCAGCAATAAGTGTTTACTTGATACACTTAATAGTTATTTGAAGTGTCTAAATGGTAAATGGTTCAGTTGAGGTGTTTGTCTGGTTGTTGAAGACAACTTAAAGGGGCCGTTTATGTATTTCGCCTTTAGGATTCCAGGAGAAAAGTCACAACTGAAAGAGAATCCCAAAGGAAAAACCATCTAGTCAGCATGTTCACAACATTTCTATTTCAGATTGTGCCCTTATCTTGCCATCTACACCATCTAGTATTTACAACCACGACAACAGACCCAATGTAATTCCATAAGTAGTGTCTAAGGAGGGTAGTGTGTACGCAGACCTTACCCCTACCCTACCCTACCTTGGAGTTACCAGGTCTAGACCTTGGAGTCCATTTTATATATACAGGTTTGAAGGGTAGGCCGAGGCCCTATCCCGACCATGATATAGTTCAGTTAACTCTAGAGGCTTGTAGACGAGTCTTGTATATTTTGTATGTTAGTATTACGGCCTTGCTAGCGTTGTGTGCATGTTCAGTTTGATATTGCTTGTTGTAGACGTTCATGGCGACCTAGAGACGTTATTTTCAAATGATTCAGAATATGGTCTCGTTGGCCTAAGTCGAGGGTTACCTCTCCAAAGTTCACAGTTACAGAGTGATACGCTCGGGCCGAGTATGGCATCGGGTGCCGGCCACGCCTTTTAAGGTTTGGGGTGTGACAAACTTACTCTAAGGTAGAGAGGCTGTTTCTGATACTCTCGGCTCATGGAACAGTAAAAATAAAGCAACAAACAATAATAACACCATCTAGTATTTGCAAGAAAAAAAAAGTAACAAAGGAAAAAAAACTGTTGAATGGTGAGGTAGCATTATAGAGCTGTATTATCATACTTCAGAACCAGTATCCCTGTCCGAGGTTTTCCACGAGGCAGTGCTGCTTCGAAATAACAAGTCCGGGTCGTTAAGAACTAATTTCTGAGACCTGATTTGACTAATGAAACAAACTCGAATTGAGTCGAATGAATGCACAGGATCCTATATAAGTATATAACCAATCCAACTAATTTGGAGTTGGAAGTGACAATAATCGTTGACATGTTGTAGACCATTATTTTGGGATGTAAAGGCAAATGCAAGGTCTGCCAATCATTATTCTCCAGAAATGTTGTGTATATCTAAAGCCCATCTGGCTCAGAAAGAGCTAAATTTTATGCCTCCGGCAGCAAGAAACTCGCATAAGATACAACAAAACTGCCTAAAAGAATCCCAAAACTGTAACTCCGGAAAAACCTAGATGGTAATATTTCTTTTAACTTGAGTTGGCAAACTTAATTCCTTTCTCAATGGAGGATTTCAGCTCCGGTAGAAGAGCTTCGAGTCCTTTCTTTTCGTAGTCTGAAAGTGGGCCCAACCCTAGGACTTCCTCCACGCCGTTCTTCCCAAGTCTCACCTGAAATAGGTAGAACCGATTACCAACTCAGAATCGTAAAAACCAGCAATAGACCAGTTCGTAAGCAAGAAGATATTGTTGTATAGCATGACAAGATCAAAGCAAGGATTAACAAGAAAATGCTGAGCGAAAACCAAAGTTCATAGCTTCTTTGGAGATTGTTTCACTTGACAAAGACCAAAGAAACTCCTATAATGAAAACTCCATTTGTTAAGTTCATAAGAGTGAAATATTAACTTTTGATAACAGCAGCCCAGCTCAACAGGTATCTATATTTTGTACGAGCATAACTAAGATCCACTGCTCCCTCAACAAATGACAGACTAATTCAAAACATTTTGCATAGAGATCTCTGTTTGAAAGGTTTAGACGTGACAAAATCGCGGATCAAATAGACAGATCTACACCTACACCGTGCCCAAGAACAGAAAGTTGAACTTAATTTGCTCTTAAAACATCCACACAATGAGAAAGGGATGACCAAATTATACAGATACTTCATATAATGACATCATCTGACATAAAAGGGTAAATTTTCTTAGAGACAGGAACAGAAGAGTTATGGCAAGACTCAGCACAACAACAACAACAACATACCCAGTGTAGTCCCACAAGTGGGGTCTGGGGAGGGTAGTGTGTACGCAGACCTTACCCCTACCTTTAAGAAGGCAGAAAGGCCGTTTCCGGTAGACCCTCGGCTCAAGAAAGATAAATGGAAGGGGCAATAACAAGCAAACCAATCCGAAAACCGAAGCGAAAATACAAAACTAACACTAGGTGCAAGACTCAGTACAGACGAGGCACCACGGGTCTACCACAAACATGCACACACATCTTTGAAGGGTCAGTAGAGGATTATTACCTTGGATGCAAAGAAAGGTAGCTCTGTGACATTTGACTGCACAAACGAACACTCAACAACATCTGGAACCCCATTCAGGCCCTTCAAGCAAGCATCAGCAAAAATAGCCCCAGCATAGCTGCAAAAGTAATACTCATTGTTCAGATGAAGTTATCAAAGACGTAAGCTACACAGATAAACAACAACTACGCTTCAGTCCCAAATAAGTTGATTTAGAGGTAACAAAATGTAAAAGGTTTCTGGTTTTTTCTTTTGCATCACCAACTCTTCTAACAGTTTTGTAGGTGAAGCAAGTTCTCAGCAACATTATATGCACCAAAATTTCATATTCAAGCTAAAACCTACTCAAGAGTGTTGATGCTGGCCACCATGCATAATGTTACATTTGTAGACATATGAGGAAACATGCAAAAGCAGGTTTGTACTTTCAAGTTATCGTCATGACACATACTACAATTGCGAAAACATGTAGAAGCATAGCCTATTTCAGGAGCATCTGTAGTGCAATGTCCGACGATTTAATTCCAGCCAGCAGCAGGTACTATAGCAAGTATTCTTTACCAAAATCTCAGGGGAAAAAATCTTTCCATTGCCCAACTCCAAGAAGTTCAGAAAACACTCAAAAAGTAAGATAACTAAAAGAGGACGAATAGAAACATACGCCATTGAGAGTGTGGCTGAACCCTTTCCAGCTTTGGCCTCAACAACTTCTGTGCCACCGTCCTGGGTTCGCTTGGTGAGCACAACAATTTCTTCATCTGACAAATTTGCCTTTGGAGTGGCCTATTTCATAAATTTCGAGATAAAAAGAAAAACTCAGTTAAGTTACAA